GCTTGGAAATCGACAAAAAAATTAGAAAGACCCAAAGAGCCAATTATAATTGAAAAGAATACTCCAGCAACCTTAAAAGAAAGAAAAGTTATCAGGTTTTTTTAGTTTTTTTTTCTTAAAATAAATTAATATCAGAAAAAAAAAAGCAAACATGTACTTGTCCGGAACTTATTTCATGTTTAAGAATCAACGTAGAACCGAACCAGAAAGCCAAAGCATAAGATGCATATATGACAAAAAACGTTAAACCAAGAGAAATACCAATCACCCAAGATTTTTTAAATCCTTCTTTTCTTGCATCGCTTAAATAAGTATCATAAAGGTTAGAAAGCTTCTTTTGGGCACCAAAGGCCACTACAGTTCTGATCGTTGAAATAGCTTCTTCAGCAATTATTCCGGCACGAGATTGGGATTCCAAACCTTTTATTGCAAAAATCTTGCAATATTTATTCGTTAACTGACTAGTGCCAACAAGAAAAGGCATAAGGTAGCATATTACAAGTGACATTTTCCAATTTACAACAAACGCGATAATGAATCCGGAAATAAATTGTATAAAATACTGAAAAACAAAAAAATGGAATAATATGTAAACATGATAGTAAAAAAAATAAAAAAAAAATAAATAAAAATAATTATATATACATGTATATACGTTGAACCTCCCAAAACTGGTCTTGTCAAAAAACCGATAATCTGTCAAATCTAATAAAAGCATAATCCACCACATCTGTTTCTGATATATAAATCTAATAGTTTATAATGGTTTCAAATCTGATAACCTCTTAATACTATACAAAACCTGTCCACCATGCATATCGGTTTTGGGAGGTTCAACAGTATATATATATATGTATGCGAACTTACTAGAAAAGCGAAGGAAACTTTTTCACTGATACCATCTTGTATCGAATGTGTATCAGAAGTAATGCGAGTAGTAACTTCACCTGAACCATGTTCGTCAAAATAAGCTATATTTTGTCTAAGAATTGCACGAAAATATTGTTCACGAATTTGTCGTGTTATTCTGAAAAACAAATACATTTCACGTGATAAGGTAAGTATCTTTTTCGAATAACTTGACATGAATTACATGAATTATAAAGAATTACCTTTCACCAGTATATACCCAAGTAGCTGTAGATATATACATAGTAACAAAAATACCAATTGCAAAGTATACATATACTAGTGAAAAGCTATTTACTTCTTGGGAAAACTCATCGGAGCTTATTTTGTGATTTTGAAAATTGGTATAATAATCGATCATTACTCCGAAAAAGATTGCTATTACAGGCTGTCAAATTTAAATATAATATATCACAAATTGAAAATGTTTGAAAAAAAAAGTTTAAAGAGGCAAGTATAATGTACATACATTAGCTGCTCCCGCAATTACTGAAAACACTAATCCAATAAACATAATTATCCAGTCAAATTTTGTAGCGAATCTATATAAAGAAATATATGAGAGCTTTCCTTTAGTAACATTAATCTGATCTTTTAAAATTTGTTCCTCTTTCGGATCAAGCTTAATGTCAGATGATTCAACATTAATCTGATCTTTTAGGATTTGTTCCTCGATCAGATTAAGCTTAATGTCAGATGACTCAATATTAATCTGATCTTTTAAAATTTGTTCTTCTGTCGAATCAAGCTTAACATCAGATGATTCTTTGATTGGTTTTTCGTCTATGCTCTCAGTCATCTTTGAAATTTATATTAAGAATAATTTTATTAACTTATGGTTTTAATTAAATTACAATTCAATGATTCGTTTTTTTAAAAGTAGTTAAGAAAATTATTTCAATTAAACTCGAGAAATTTATAACCTGTCACATATGGCAATCATTTTGCAATTTTGGTAATCGCTCAGAAAGACATATGTTAAATTATTTCATTTTGCTATAACTAGTATTTCCCATTCTTTTTAAATCTTGAAAGTAATTATTTGAGCCGATCAAATATCGGATATAGTAATCCGATTATTTCTTAAAAAATACCATGTGAAATGGATATACATAGATGTGTACGTACGAGAACTACAAAAAAGATCGACCAGTTAAAAAGAATATTAATTGTCATTGATAAAGGCTTATCCTTTAATGTACATAATACAAGATAATTTCATAAATAATTTTAACTCGTATTCATTCCTCTTGACCTAACCATTATTGTTTATCCAATATTACAATGAGCGAATCGGATTGTACGTTAATAATTTAGAGCTTACTAAAGTTTATTTAGCACCCAACAAATAGGAAAAATATTTAGACCATGGCCCATTGGGGTTCTGCATATACTAATTAATCAAATCTATGTCGGGTGTTATAGTAAAAATTAATAATACAGATTTTATGCATACTATATATATAGCAAAATATTAGACTTAAAAATCCATCCACCTCGTGTACTAATAATTTTTTTCTGATAATTTTTTGCGGCAAATGATTATTATAATATTGTAAAAAGAAGTTACGGTTTTATATTTTAAGGTTTTTTAAGTTTTACATATAAACTTTTAACCAAAAGGTGAATTTTGTTACGAATTAATCTTAGCAAA